TTCCTTTGGGGCTGAAGTCGTCTTTTAATGAATACAGGACTTCGAACAGGGCTAAGACAGGATGCAATTTCTTGCCTTGTAAAGTGAGTATATGGTGGGGTTGGCTGAAAAAGAACAGTTTCTTCTTGTTGCCCTTGAACTGCACTCTCTGGAAAAGCTGGGATAGGCTCAATTTGGGGGTGACTCTGTACATCATCTGCCAATGTAGTGAGATTGCATGTTTGGGATGTGCCATCTCCATTCTTTGTTTGAATCTCCTCATGCTGAACCTCTTCATGTTGAATCTCCTCATTTTGATTTTCCTTTTCCTCTGGTGTAAGCCCTAAGCTAAATGATGGCATGGACAAGTCTTGGCTGTTGGTCTCAAGGTTGCGCTTCACCGTAAAAAATTCCATTTCAAGTCGAGATATTTCAGCCAAGAAAGAAGGGCTCTCATGGACTACTTCGAATTGCAGTTTTGGATTTGTTTCCGAAATCGGAGTACCTGATATTCTTGGACTTTTACCAACCGCAACAATCACTTCTGCAGCAGTTTGTTGCATTCTCTTGACGGCATTTGAATTTGGGAACTCACTATTCAAGCCTCTACAGATGGTGTCCCACTTTGATATTTTTTGCACCAACTCTTTTGCAGCAGTCCGTGCCTCCTCTAAAACGTCGTTCTAAAACAGGTTTTTAAAAAAGAAAAAAGTGTGTCAAGTTACTTTGATATTCAATGCTTCAACTTCAAATTATCCACTCAAAGTCAAACCAAATAAATATGAAAAAGAAGCAAGAGCATGATCACTTCATTCATCCAAGCAACGAGTTAATTTAGGAGACTAAGACGTTGATTGAACAATCATAGAGTGTGTTTGTGTAAAAATGGATTGGATGGCAGGTAGTGAACTGAAATGGGAATTGAAATTATAGAACAAAAAGCAAAGCACTAGTGTAGGCAGGACAGAGATTTTTGAACATAAAGAAAACTGATGTGTGTGTGTCTTACAATTACCTGTGATTGTGATGTTTTCTCAGGAGGATCTTCAAGAGACGGGTTTTCATTTGAAAACAACTCTTTATTGATTTGTGGGTCCACGCTACCACGGCCAAAACCACCTATTTACAGTATTATTCAGTAACGTGTAACTTAAAAAAGCATGAACCTCCTAAAAATAAGTTGCACTAACCTGATTCCCGCTCCAATCCTTCTCTTTCCTTAAGCTTCTGCGAAGTCCAACCTAGCATAGTTGGAAAAGTTCTAGGCACTACTCTCATTCGGAAGACAACCCTATCAACATAAAACATCTAAAAAGAGAAAAAATCAGTATAACACAGACGACTCT